CTCAGTGGTTAAAATAGTAGCTGTACAACAACACCATATTATGCCAAATTAGGCTGAGGTAGCTTTCCTCAGGAGGTATCACTGTATGGTGGGGGGACTCTCTAATTGCAGGACAACTGCTCCTTTGAATAACAGACACCTTTGGCCCAATAAGGTCAGTCATTTATCAAAAATATTCATCTATGTTCAGATTTGTCAGTTTAAAGTTATTATTGACTTTAAAACAGTCATGCTTTTATCTATAGAGGGGAAATTTCTGTTAAGGGAGTGGGTGAAGAATGCAGGGGTGGCTATATAAAAGCATACAGAAACTTTGTCATTAAAGTCTATATATTATCGAACAGGGATGAGTTTTTGCTATCTAATCCAACATCCAAATCATGAAATAATGTGCCTCAGGTAAAGCAAAGTGCAGTTTGACAGCTGCAATCAATAGCGGTCAGTTTTCTGCTAAGGTGATCACCTCTTTGGAGAATAAACCCCACATACTGTAGACCCCACTTTAGTGTCCTCTACAGACTACATTACTCTGCATTATTAACACATTGCATAATCAATAGAAAATGTTGTTGCTTACAGGAAGCAGGGTTTCTCTCTAGGACTCTACCCTGCAGGGTTGCCTACACTCGTAGAACTGCATTCCTCAGTGTTGCCTTTTTTTTTTTTTAAACAAAGTTTTTTCAAGGCAGATAAACTACAACAGGTAATTCTGACAGTTTCTGTTTGACTTATGTGCAAACATGTTGCAGCGTAAAAAGTTTGTAACTGATCAGACAGCTTTAAGACTACAAAATATTACCCGACACAAAGTCAGTTAGGCTTTAAATATTAACACCTAAAGTGTACAGTTTGATTTACACCGAGGATACAGCCTCAACAGCTTCTAATTTGCAAATCATCTTCAGGTCTTCTTATTTTTAATATCCAAATGCTATTTTTTATTAATCTGAATTTAAATTAACATGTTTCTCTTTGCTCCCTTTGCTCTACATCATGTCTTTCAAACTCTTTTCCAAATTTCTACACCACATGGACTGATGGTTGGTTTCTGGGAGGTCACTTAGAAATAATTTAATTGCAGATGGAAATACAAAGTGTTGCTTACATCAAACCATCCGTTTTCTCCCTCTTAGTCCTAGTCAGAGTCGTGGTGGGGCCGGAGCCTATCTCCAGCAGTATAAGGGCGAGTGG